AAAATTTAAAACAAAGATGGCGGCGCAAGGATTTTTTTCTACTTTTGTGAGAAGTTCACCTAAGAGTGTGTATTTGATGTGTTGAGCAGCCACTGTGAATGCAGGAGATAAAAACTAAAATAAAGAAGACAATTTTTGGAGAAGTAGAGGTTGCTTTGCTTCGCATCTCAACCGATATGAAATCTTGCGATGGCGTAAACAGGAGAATTCAAGTGAAGAATAATCTACCTGAAGTGGAAGACTTTGGAACTTAAAGGAAAACAATATGATATAGCCAGAAGTCGTGTGTAGGATTTTTAAGATGAGTCCGGGAGGCTGTCTTTGACAGCTGTTTAATGATTTTCTTAGCAGTAAACGTCTATAAACATCAGATCGTAGGCGCTCACGCGAGCACACGCAATTGTCAGCGGTAGCTCAAACAGATCATGAGCAAATGTCGATCTTATAGAATGCATATTTTTAAATGCGCGCGAACGCGTGTGGAAATAGCATAAAAGTGTTCAACTGGCCTTGGTTAGTCTTTCTGTTGTATTCTTTCAAAGTTACAAACCATCAAAAAGATGAAAACTGGTACGAGCCACCTTAAGCTTTGCAGGATTTCACAAATATATCTCATTTTGCTGGCCGGGCAGAGTGTTTGAGCAAAGACTTCGGTGACGACCTTTTGGCGATAAATAATATTCATTCCATCTTCTCTCTCGTTCTCAAATCAGAAGGGTTTTTCTGCTAAAATTGATTTCGAAATAGATTTGGTGGTACTAAATTTGTTTTTAAAACGATTGAAACGCGGCCTAAAAACAATTTTTTGTTTAATAATCCTTCACAAAAAGTAACTCAGAAAGTTACAAGGAGAGGTGGTTGCGTGACTCTCATTCGATAATATCTGAATTCTTCAAAACAATTTGTTCGTTGCCTGAAACGTTGAGAGAAGTTTTGAGTTCTTCTTTAAATACACTTTCGCCTATTCTTTGCAAATCCCTTGAATTTGCATATTTCTACCATAAATTTCCCATCAGAAACTGCAGGAATTTGATGAATAAAAGTCACATTGAATCCCCTTGTGTCTACCTAGAAAGAGTCTCACTGACTTAGCTTTTTAATGGAAGAAAGACAGATTTACACACACCATTGCAGAAAACGAACAAGGAGACTAACAACTCGAAACACACATTTCCATTCACTTACAATTTAACTCTCTTTTTAAAACGGAAGAGAAGTAAATCTTCGAAGATTAATCGTCGCTGGAAATAAACAATACTTTCCGTAAGATCTCTGAGGCCCTGTTTAAACGTCGCATTTTACATGCGCCAAATCTAATACTAATTTAAGTCGACCTGAATTAAAAAAGTTCGGCATTTGATTTAAACGTCGCATTTAATTGTGTCGAATTTAATTGCCGAGTGCGAGTGACAGCTTCATTCCCAGACTCCGCTCTAAGTCCACCGCCAATATGGCTGACAAAAATAAGGAGGATATTTTGTGTTTTCGGCGTTTATGCAGGGTTGTCAGTAGAATTTAAAGTAGCTGTCTGATCTCAAGAAAGTAGCCGGTTAGTAAAGGGCTAGCACGTGTAGCGTGCGTTCTGGGGTGCGCAGCGCCCCTATCTAGGGCATGCCCCCCGGAAAAGTTTTGAAATATACAGTTGCTAAGGTGTCCATTTCCTGGAATTTGAGCATGTTTTCAAGGGGAATTTTCAGATGTACATTAAGGTAAAATTCAGTGAAAAATCCACTTAAAAAGTTCCACTTGCTGTTCTTTGACAAATTTAGCTCAGTCTTATTTTACGTCACACTGCCTAGTCACGTTTTAAAAGTTGATTGCAATTTGATTCACAAACAATTTGATTTGGGAAGGTACAGTTCAAAAATTACAAAGTTCATTGTCTATGCTAGCATGACAAACAATTTGACTGTTTGAGTTCATTACGCTACATTTGACAGACTATACTTTACAACAAAATCAAAACCAAGTCATGTAATTTATAAAAATAAGGCATCATCAACATCGTCGACGTCACAATCGCTATCGTAATCAGAGTCTGCTTCTTCTTGGCACAAAGCATCATCAGTCAGGTTCAGGGCGGCACTAGCAATCTGCACCTCCAATTCACCATCTATGTTATCACCAGCCTGGGACGGGTGTGTTTGCACACAGGCATCAGCTGTCTCGATCACATCATTTTCTGCCAGTTGTGGGGAGGTAGAGGCTGCAACAGTTGACGACACTCTGATCTTTGGCATTTTTCGCCTCTTCTTCTGGTTTTGCCACTTCTCTACTGCGGCTGTGACAAGGGATTCACATTCTGAGGTTCCAACCTTGGGACCATTAATAGTGATCATTAGAAGAGATTGAAGCATGGTAACACTTAGCCGGTTTCTCAGCCGAGTCTTGATACGTTTCAGGGCGCTGCCACCTCTTTCTGGCCATGCGTTAGAAACGGCCATTGACAAACAGACTTCAGCAATGTTTGTTAGAGCAGGAAACACAATGCTGTAAGATGTCTTGAGCGAGATCAGTCGTTTGAGGCACCACTCTGTTGCTGTTTCAAGGTGGCTCTCCTTCACCTCTTCTGGGATTTCTTGCTTCCATGCATCCATATCATATTTAAATTTCTCCCATTCAGCTAGTAGCTGCTCNGCATGATGTTTCAGAAGAGGCGACTAGAGTCAGAGATGCCCTTTGTGGAAAGTTATGGGTGGAGAAAGAAACTGGGAGAGTTTCCTAACTTGATTCTCTAACCTGATTGAAAACAACAGTGACATAGCTCAGAAGTTTTTGCCAGCAGTAGGTTTTGTTTACCTTTTATTCATAAAAATGTACAAACATGTAAGATTTTCTTCAGAAGGACCTAAACTTAATTCAGAACGTTTGTTTCAAAACATTATCAGGGATAATTGAGTAAACTAAAAGAACCATTACCCCAAAAGTGGGAGTCTTGTTATTAATATTAATATTGTATCGTCATTGCCCTTGCTATAATTGTTAGAACTTAAAATGTCTTAAATCATCTCAGTTATTCAGATCATGTAGTTACAACATCAAAAAAGTAACTGATATTTTTGTGACAAACTCCATTTCATTAATCGAAACAAAACTATTTGATAATTGGAACCAACCCAAGCTCTTTTGCAGGTTATGTAGGTTGTGACTACAAACTTAGGTGACGACAACTAAAGAGTTAAGATACCAAAATTTAGCAACTGACGACACATTTTATATGGTGTTGACTGATTTCTTTTCACAGTACATCATCATCTGTAGTCTTTTTCAGTAATTTGTAGTTTTCAAGTTAAATTGTAGTAATTTGTAGTTTTCATTTTTGTAGTTTTTTTAGTTTTTCAGTAATTTTGTAATTTTCATTATCTGTAGTCTTTTTCAGTAATTTACAGGGAACATTCTCTCACCTCTTAAATAGTCTTGGGTCCCTGATCGAGATCTGCTGCTCAAACACCTACCGGTATTCCATAATTATGGAAGTGTTAAATTTATGAGTTGTGCAGTTACATGTATTTGTCAGGCCCTTCATGGGCTTTTACTTTTGTACTGTGAAAAAAAATCAGTCAACACCATATAAAATGTGTTGTCAGTTGCTAAATTTTGGTATCGTTTAACTCTTTAGTTGTCATGAGCTGTTGCTTTTTATTATTTGCATTTAAACGAGCAGAACATTATGACAAGGAATTTTTGCTAATATGAGGAGAATAAAAAAGGTTCCCTTCCCAAAGTGTAGCCATTTTAACTATTAAAGCCCCAACATCAACAAACAGATTCTCCTTAAGGATATCCTTACGTTTCTTATTGTTGTGCTTGGGGAAAGTTGTTTAAACACTAAGACAACTGACCTTTAGTTATCATACTGTATATTCTCATGGCTTGTATCTTTGATTGTGTAACTGTGTTAGAAATTATGATATAATGTGCACTCTCAGAGTGATGCACTGCTTAGAAAAGAGGTTGTTGAAAGCTGGCAGAACCTAAATTTGGTTGGGTTAGAAGCTGAATCATTTTGAATTCATGTTCACGGGATTTGTTCATTTCTTCTTGCAAGAACCTGATAAACTCTTTCGTTGGATCAATATTGCAAACCTCTTTAACTAGCTCTGCAGCTTCCATAACAGCAGCTGCAAGGTTTTCCTTTGGTTTTTCCTTCTTCCTTTTCTTTATAGGAATAAAAAGTCCGCCTTCAGAATAGTCATTATTTTCCAAATCATCTTGAAGTGATTTATCCGCATCAGCTGATTTGGAGGACTTCTCTGAACTGGTAGACTGCTCTAAAGAAGAAGGCTCTATGGCTTGGTCTGGTTGGNTTTCAAAAACCATTCGCGCTAACAGGAAATGGCGACTTATCATGCAGATGGCAGTGCATCTGCTAGCAAGAAGAAGACGACTTCTGTATGTTTGTTCCCTTCTTATGCTTTTCCTATCGCATAGAAATGCCATAGCACGTGTCCCAAGATCACGATCGTGCCGTCGATTGATACGAAGTGAAGGCTGGTGGCACAAGGTATGGATTACATATTCTGATGTTCGGTTTAAGAAAACCTTACGTGTTTCACGGACAACATTTCATTTTATTTTAAGTCGTGTGGGGGAACGTACTTCAAAGACAAATTGTGACAGAGGAACCAATTTCACCTGAGGAAAGACTGGGCATATGTCTCTATAGACTTGGAAGAAGCGACTACTATTAGACTATCGCTGAAATGGTAGGAAGAGGAGTTGCCACTGTGAGCGCCATTGTACTGGAAGTATGCCAGGTTCTTGTTGAATATTTGTGGGCTGAAAGTATTTCAAGTAACATGCCGAAATCTCGAGAAGACTTTGAGCTAAAGATTCTTGACATGGAGGAATTATGGCAATTCCCTTGCTGCTGGGTGGCACTGGATGGATGCCACATACCCATCAAATGTCCTCCCGGCGGCCTTGAAGCATGTAAAGAATATCAGAATATTAAAAAATTTTATTCAGTTGTTCTGATGGCCATGGTTGATTCTCATTACCGTTTTGTATGGGGTAGTTGTGGTTATCCTGGGAACTCCCATGATGCTATCATTTTTAGGTCTGCAAACCTTTGGAATTCAATCCAAGATGGCCTTCTACCCAACGTGGGCAAAGCTGTGGGTGAAATAAATGTACCACCTCTTATACTAGCCGATTCTGTCTTTCCCCTCAGTATATGGCTCATGAAACCCTACACAAATGTCGTTTTAAGCCCTTAACAAAGATATCTCATACTACAGGCTTAGTAGGGGACGTATGGTCACCGAGGGAGCGTAGGGTCAGTTAAAGGGAATGTGGAGGGTGCTCTTGCGGAAAAACGAAAGTGACAAAGAACATGTTCACTTAGCAACACTCGCATGTATGGTCCTACACAATATTTGTCTCATGTAAGGGGACTCCATTCCAAGAAAGCTCCATTTAACAGTCGGTCCAGATGGCAATGAGAGAAGAAACAGGGATGAAATCAGGAAACTGTTACGCATGAGAGAGTGCAGAAGTTATCATTCGGGTTCTTTTGGCAATCATTTTGTTATGTGTTAGAAAAAATTAAAATGTTATTCACCAGCATAGGTCGGTCCGTATTGGGAAAAACGTGCCCGAGGTCTTGGGTACCGCCCTCGGGCACAGTTTTTCCCAATACAGACCTCCCGGATGGTGAATAACATATATATACTTTAACCGATATTTGTTAATTTGTGGAGTGTTGCTTTATATTGACGGGCTTTAGCCTTAATAACCGTACATCGCCGTACAGTTAATAATCAGATCTGACAGAAACGTCAGAAGATATCGTACTCCTCTCTAACAAAAGTCCAAGTAGAACTTTTTATAAAAAATAGGACCAACATTTCTTTGCAAATAGGACAGTATTTCTTTGCAAATGGCTTCTAAGGCAGTAAATGTCACATATCTGAATCAAGTCTTCTGGAGTTCATTTTCTCAATGAACTTCATTTTTGTTCAAAAAAAGGGGTTTACCAACGATGGTTTCTCCGTCTTTCGCCCTTCAGCGAAGTTTAGCGTGGGTTTTCGGTGTGGTGAGAGAATCGACTAACACTTCTGCTTTATTAAAATGCAAGTAAATGGTAAGGAGCCACTACAAGTACTTAAGTTTACATGAAGAACGCTTTTAAAACTTGGTGTTGAATTATCGATCGTCTTACCTCCAGTTTGCTTCTGCTCTTGAAATTACTCTCTCTCTCATGAAATCTATCTCCCACTTGAAATCTCTCTTGAATCTCTTTTGAATCTCTTTTGAATCTCTCTCTTGAACCTCTCTCTTGAACCTCTCTCTTGAACCTCTCTCTTGAACCTCTCTCCCTCCTGAAATCGGCTCTCTTTCATGTGATGGAGATGATATATCCTCGATTTTGTTAATTGCCTCTTGTAAAATCCCCCTCAACTCCTCCATCTCCTCCCTACGAGTCACATGTAAAGAACGAGAACTGCGGGCATCTGAATCACGGGAAAAGTTAGATGCTGTTGACATATTAGCCATGATGGTGAATGTATCGTCAACACACGATATCTTCGATAGAAAGAAGGGAGTTTACCCTATCGCTCAAGGTTTTGTTTAGAGTGGGACATGATGAACACATTAGCTGGTAAGGGACATAGAGGGGATCCCATAGCCACGCCATCCGTGAAGAAATTAGAATTGCCCCCTTTCACGGGTGTATCCAAGATTGTTGTTCGTTATCAAAGCATTTTGATTTGCCATCTTAAGTCACTCTTTAAGATGGTGATTTAGAGAACAGATATTTGAGCTTGTTTTTCAGTTCCTATAAATCTGTGCAAACTGAAACTCGATGGCAGCAAAATTTCAGGGCAATATTTGTCTTTTCTAGTAACAAGTGCTTTCCTTTTTTTTCAGCTCTCTGACGAACTCTTGACCTCGTTTTGCTGTAAAATAAAAGCTTGCCAAGTTTCGTTTGACAGCCGGCCTGCACACACAAGCTTCCCCGTTTGTTGTAATGTTTAGGAAACGCCCCATTTGAAAAGATCTGCTTATGCAGTTTCGCTTTACGAACTTGTTTTACAATGACTCTCATCGTCTTTGTTTAAACGAGAGTTTTGAACAAAGCTGTTTTGTGAAGAGCAGATTTTGAAATGAATTATCTACGGAAGATTTTATAATGATCATAAAATTTATAATAGTGGGCACTGACCTCAGCTGTAGTGAAAATAACGGATAGTACGGGAGTTGAATCTAGTCAGTAATGTGCTTTACAAGTGCTCTACAGTGCTCTAAAAAGCCACCTAGGAGCTGGTCATTTTCTTGGTTTATGATAAACCCGTGAGTAATAATTAAATTACTGTGAATGCATGAATATCACACATTCGAACTGCTGAGTATTAGATGAAGATGAGATCGATCGTTGCTTTAATAGTGGCGAGAAAGAGGAACTTACAAGTTGGTATACAACAACCTGGAGTGAGGCTTTCTGCCGTGGAATTCACCCCAAAAAATAACATGTGGGGGAGGGGTGAGATATTGCATAGCACGTGGCCAGTTCGTTTTCAAAAACCTGATTACTTTTCAAAGAATTATATTAAGAACCCAGAGAAAGCTCATATTTGATCATAAATCTGGTTTAACATTTCATTTGTTACTGTAACATCACGGAGCGAACAAATGTGATAAATACACAGCCGAAAGCATGAAGCGATTTTTAAATGACTTAGATGACTCAACTTGTACACAGTCAAGTAAGGAGAGGGTTGACATAATTTGACGTATAGTCACTCAAAGTCATGAAATATTCCAAAAATTCAAAACCGAAAAAGAATATCTATGCCGGAACGACCCCTGGATCCTGTTAACTTAAACAACGGCCTTTGTAATAAGTTGTACATGTCACTGCCACCAAGAACAACCAACATTTGATGAGCTCTTTGCAACAAACACTCCTGCCGAGGAGGAATGTTAAACAACGAAGATGCCCGAGCTAAGATATACAAGACTGTCAAGGTGTGTTATTAGATATCCAATTCCATTGTCACTTTCATGGAAACGATCATTCACTTGACTTAAGACGAATTCTATGCTGTGCCGTAAGTAGCTCTTCAAAAGATCCATTTCCTTCGGCAGAGGGCAAATAATCGATACCACATTATTGCTTCATGTAAGAGTGTATGGAATCAAGTGAACGCTTCATGTAAT